GGGGGGGGGCCCGCAGTGGTTTGGGGTAGCCGAGGGCAATATTTTGGGATCCAGAAGTCTGTTACTGGCCACAAAAAAATTATTTTTGGAGCCAGTGCAAAGGGAAGGGGTTTCGCTTTTGCCCATTTTGCAGCTGCTGTGCCAGAGGACAGGGGATTGTGGCCGAGCCAGACTCAAGAACCCCTCTCCTGGCTCTGAAAATGCTTAAGTGTCACGGATCTAACAGTGGTTACAGACGACTGATTTAAAGCGTAGATGTCGCTGTGGAGCGCTGCTCTCCTGCAGTGGGCACTGCTGAATATCAAAGTGCCCTTTGAAAAATCCAAGGCGATGTCACCACTGCCTGGGCTTGTGCTGCTCAGAGGGTCTCGAAGTCCAGTATGCAGGTGACTAGCAGAAGATGGCGAGGAAGAGCGAGGCCTTTTTCCACCGACGCTCTCCTAGCCTTCAGCAACTTTATAGTTGGTGCCTTTCAATGATCTGGATGCTCTTTGAATGCAAGTCTGTCCTTTCTGCTTCTGCTGCTTACCCAGGATGTCAAGTTCTCAGTCTTTGTTGCTTTTTTTTTTTTAATCACCGTTCATTTCTAGACTAAGCACGTTGTAGACTTTGCACCTGGGAACTGCTGTTGATTAAATTCATAAATGCCCACCTCTAGGAGGGAGTGACATTATCTGTTTAGCAAATAGTTGTAGTAGGCTCTTACTCTCTGGTGGAGGTAAGTCACTAAAAGACAAGGTCTGTTTTGCTGTTATCATCACTGTGGTATGCTTTGCCTCGTTCTTTCTCCATTATTGCACAAGGCCAGCAGATGCTGGTCACTGTATTGGACGATGTGTTCTTATTGGGTGAAGTTGCAATAGATTTTTCAGCTGTTGAGGCACTGCATAGTCCTTGGTGTTACGTTGTCCCTGGGAATGAGAATGAACTATCCCATGGGGCCTGGAAACCTGGCTTCTGTGCCCCCCTACACCAGCATACCCTTGCCAATTCCTCTTCCAAAGCCGCGGCCAGCATTATCTGAGGAACCTTTTGGTGAGAATCTTGCTTCTGATTACATGCAGTGATCACAGCGATGGCCTGTGCTTGTGAGTTGTATGCTCTGTGAAAAAATTGGCAGCCATCAGCAAGAGAGGGGCTTGCTAAGGCTCTGCCCTCTGGGGGGGGAAGTGATTACAAACCAGCTCAGCCTACTGTTTCTGTACCAAAGGTCCTTGAACTGCTCTCTTTTCATGCCCTAATTCTATATTCTGCCGCCAAATTAACAAATCGTAGTTGTGACGTGTGGCAAATGATCACAGTAGCAACTATGGTACAAGTGCCTCACTGAAGACAGTTGACCCTGTCAGTTAATCAATACCCAGCAGTGTGCGCAGCTTCGTATTCCTTGCCCCTTTTCTTAGCTCTCTGTTCATACACCAAGCAGTTGCAAGCTGAAGGAACACAAAGTACATGATTAATTTCTCATTCAGAGAGATGACGAAGCCACATCAGAAAGTCTGGTGTCCCTTGTACAACAGACACCACCTCCTCTTCCCCTCCTTTTCCTGCAGTCTAATCTACAAACTGCTGTAGAGTGACACAGGTTGTTAGGAAAGACGTTATGGTCCTGCAATCAATTTTAAATGCAAGAACGTTAATTAGTGGCTGATGTGTGTATCTTAGACTTCTTTCCTTTACTTGTGCAGATGTGCAGGTCTAATTTGCAAAATTTGAGTTTTGCCTTGAGAGGCTGAATATGGGTAACAATCCTGTGTATTGTGTTCTTCAGAAATTGCCAGTGACTGATGTGGTTGTTGTCACTTCCTTCAGGCTTCTTGTGAGGCCAGGATGAAGATGCTACAGGAGCCAGCTGGATAGCAGTGCATGTCAGAAGCCATTGCCTTTGAAGCGCAATAGATGCACGAGAAGTACTCTGCAAAACTTCCAGTGCAAAGTAGCCCCCAAGACACCGGGTAGTCAGAGAAGATAACAGTTCTTGGACTGGTTTCACAAGGAGTCCTAAAAGCAGGAAGTAACTATACTTAATGCAGTTTGGTAAAGAGGAGCACCTCCAGTGTAGTAGGAACATCTTTTTTTTTTTTTTGTAACTGTATGTTAACTGGACCCTTTGGCACTTTTTTCTTTTAAATCTGTGAATAATCTTTTTTCAAATGAATACTCTGCTACTCCTCACAGAGTTTTGTGGAGTCCTTGTCACTGCAGCTTGAGGAAAAAACGCAGCTGTTTGCTCATCTACTCAGCCCTCCAGGGAAGGAGGAGATGAGAGTCCATCATCTGAATAGTGTCGCTTATAGCAGACAAGAAGTATGAAGCAGAGACAGATGTAGGTAGGAGCCACCCGAAGAGGATTCAGGCTCAGAAGAGTAGAGTTAATGGGGGCTTCCATTAAGCATGGAACTTGGGTAGTAAAACCCATCACTGTGGTAACTTCAAAGATCTGGGAGAGATCTGTCCTATTTCTTGAGCAAGACATCCGAGTAGCAGCAGTACACGTGGTAGATTTAGGTAGTGTTGCTGATACAGTCAGTGCAGGGATACGTGATCCGCAAGGCAGCATTGCAGTCCTTGACTGTAGTGCACCAAAACCATTTTGCACTACCAGTGAGAGGCTCCATGAGGGCAACTGGATGCTCTGGTTGATACAGAAGTGTTCAGAAGGTGATTAAATTAGCCCTGAGCAGTGGCAGAGGGCTTTTGAGTGTCATTCTCTGCCTTCTAAAATTTTAGAATCCCATTGGTGTTCTATGGGCAAGGCCTTGGAGAAGAGATTAGGTGTTAAGGTAGCAATGCAGTGAGATCTGCTGTGTCAAAAACTAGAGGTCAAACCTCATATGGAGGTTTTTGACCAATTCTGTGTCGTTGGGCTTTATGAGGAGCAATTTCTACAGCTGAGTTAAGTTGTCTGAGCTGCCAGTGACTGAGAACCTGAGGCTGAGACCATGTGGCTTGTCTGTACCTTAGAGCTGAAAGACATGTGAGGGGCAAGCTAGGAAGAACAAAAGGAGATTGGGAGTCCAAGTGCAGAACTGCCCAGGGCGTTTGGGATTCAATGCATATCCCTCTGCATGGACTAGTATCTGTTAATGACTTCATGGGTGCCAATGTCAGTACAAGCGTGCATGTTTCAGCAGATCTAATGCCTTCTCATGAAACAACAGAATGGAGATCTCTGACTCTGGGATTGTCCATAATCTTTCAGTTAAACCCAAATTTCTGCTTCAAAACATTTTTGTTTGGCACAATGTACTTCATTTCTGTAATAGCCTAAAGCAGCTGTTATTAATTGACCTAATTTTCACAGAAGCATTAAACAATTTATGTTGAAAGGGACCTCAAGAGATCATCTGGTCCAGCCACCTGCTCAAAGCATATATAACTACAAATAACTGCACTTTTATGGTCCTAACATAAACCAAAAATCCATTTCAAGCATAGAGGAAGTGTGATCAGCTTCCCTCAGGCAGCAATTTCACAGTGAGGAGCGGTGGAAAATAGGTGTTTGTAATGGGAAACATTTAGCTAGTCTTATGGGCAGGTATTGCTGTTATGAGAAGTGTTAAAACTACTTGCCTAGCCCTTAGGTCTGGGAAACTGAACTGCATTGTAGTTCTCTGCACAGCATAGACAGAGTTATTAATCACCATAGTCTCATTTGGCCAGAGTTACACTTAATGGCTGCAGCGACACTGCGGCTGGAGCTCTGAACACAGTGAGTTGTCCAGGTGTGATGAAAGCACAATATCACACGCTGACTACAGCTCTGCTTGGGGCACAGAGGGGAGCTTGGATTGGGGGGTGGGGGGGGGGGTTAAAAGCTTAGAAAATAGCATCTTTCACTTGTAAATCAGGTGTACTTTACTTAAAAACATATTCTGCCACATAGGAAAACACTTTTTCAAGGATAATCTAGTTTTTATTTGAGAGAGTCATCCTAGATTGCCTCAGAATGCAGTTCAACCGGCCAAGTAGAGGCACTTGGATGAGAGCAGGTTGAATTGTGCTCTGAGTGCCTTTGCTTAGATCTCTCTTGCTTGTAAGAGGGATGCAGGGTCATTTCCTCGTGTAGAGAGCTGTTTAGTAATTCCCCATATTTGGTGATGAATGTGGTTTTATTCACTTCTAACCAGGCTGCTCAGTTTCCTTGTTCTCTTCACAGTAAATACAGTGCTTGCTTCAGTCTGTGATGATGTCTTCTGTCGTGTAGCGGTTGCTCCCAGGAGACCTGGTTAACTCATCTCTACTTGTAGCCACAGACTGACAGCCATCCAAGCTCTCTGCAGTAAACACAAAGCGAATTAGCAGCATGTGTCTACTGATTTCCTTTAATCGGTAAGTGCTGCTCAGGCTGCAATGTCCTGATGGAATCTAGATGGAATTACATTAGAGACTTCCTCTGTAAGTACACTGTCTTTCAAAATTACTTTCTAACAGCACGCTGAACGATGTAAACATAGAGTAGGGTTTTAACAGACAGTCGGTCATCAACAGCATCCTATTCTTAAACTCAGGTAATGATCACCAGTTGGAATATGTCTGTATTTCCCCAAAGAACATGCATTTTTCAATGCCAGTATGTATATGTGTGTAATTACCCTCATCGTGTGCAGCAAAACCAGTTGAACAGCATGTTTATAGAAACTGTCCTTCAGAGCAATTGCCTCTCCAAGGAGCATAGCTCATGTAAGAGGAGTGGGACTGTCTCCAGCCAGCCCTGGGAGACGATGCTGAGAGCATATTGAAAAGCTGTCTTCAGCAAAAGCTTGCCAGTTTAACAACTCTGTTCACTGTTCCTATTGCACAGTGGGCTCTTTGACGCAACAGAAAGAGCTGCCTTTTTTTTTTTTTTTTTTTTTTTTGCTTCCTCTTAAATCTGCCTGGCCAATTTAAAGCTTGTGGATATGTTTTCCCCCTCGGGGAGCGCTTATGTGAGGATTTTCTTTTTTAACGGTTTGTTCCGTGAAACCATTTTTTTATTGTTTGCTGTTAGAAAATGTTGGAGCTGAACACAAGGCTTTCATTGCAGGTCAGTGGATGAACTCTTGACCAAAGCATTTAACATTCAAGTGTAGCTTTAGAAAGCACTGTAGTTTGGGAGGAAAAAGCAAGTTAGTGAGGCTGTATCATTTGAGCCCATGTGTGCCTCACTACTGGATTAGGAATCTTTTCAGATCTTCAGTGACTGAGTGAGTTCTGCACAGATGAATTTGCCATCTTTATTTTGTAGACAAATTAATATTTTATTGAAAACAATGAGGTGACATCACATTTCTGTCTATATTATTTAGTTCCTGAATGTATACACTGCCTCAACATGTAATAAGCCTTACTGGGAATTTTAAATACAAAGTTTTTCCTCCGCTTTATTTTGAAAGGATTGTCTTTTTGAGTTACTTTTTTTTTTTTTTAAATTCTTTTCAACACATTTAATGGAAAACATGTTACTCCTGGGCATATGCTATCTGCAGGGAAGGTAGTTATTTGTTATTTTGTTTTTCTTCTTAGATTTCTATAAAGAAAACTAAGAAAGGATGCAGGCATATTGTTAATGTCTCTCTTCAAGCTGTATTTGAGGTAAGACAATCTTCTTTTTCTATCTCAGAAAGTAGTATATGAAGTAGATTCAGTATTTCTTTCATGTGTATTTACTGAGATTATCCTGTTGCTATTTATTTCTTTTTTTCCTCCCTGATTATAAAACATGAATATTTGTCACAAAACTGTTCCTTGTCTATACACCACTTAAAATCCTGTATTTTTATTTCAACAACATCTGCATCTGCAGATCTGCGTGTTTCTATTTGCTAGTGTACCCTAGATTGGGAGAATGCTTGAAAATAATGACAGAATTTTTTGTAATTGGTTTGGTTTTCTCCTCTGTTATGCTCATATTAAGTGCGTGGTTTCCTTGCCCTGGGTACGGAATTCTTATGCAAACTTTGTAAAACTGAGTTACAAATTATTTCCACTGTGAATCACTTTCCTTGTAAGATGACTCTTTTGGTAATGTTTAAGTTAATTGTTTTCGAACATATACACTGCATTTCTGCTGTATTGTTTTTTAATAGTACTCAAAAATAAAAGAAAATCATCTAGAAAAATAGTTATTCCTATCAGGCTGCTTATTTCCTTCTCCACTTAATGCCTTAGTTATAAGAAGTGTATAGCTTTCCAAGCTATTGAGTCATTATTTATGAGGATCGGTTCAGCTGAAAGGTGCAACATTGCCCATACACAACTGTGCTGAAGATGGAATCTGTGTGGGATACCACTGTTAGTGGCTTATGATTATTGTCTGGGTAATTAGAAAATTACGTGTTTTGTTTCTTTCTTTTTCAAGTAATTTAAGATGTTGAGATTCCAGGAAGATGGATTTTTCTTCTACCACTTTCTGTAGCAAGATTCCCATTTTTATAACTCAAGATTTTGACAGATGCCTTCTGTCATTTTCTCACTATTTAAATCAATCCCTCTGAATCTTTGTGGCCTCTCTTACAAGGGGAAGTTTGTTTTAAGGCAGGCCTGCTGTACTGCAGATCCAGAAACCTTTTTAATTTAGGAAATCATTCTGAATCTTTCTTGTTTGATTCTCCACATCTCTGAAACAATTTGCTATTTGAATTCTAAATGGTGTTGAGTCCACTCAAGAGATCTGTCTTTCAATGTTTAGTCAAGAGGGTGTTTTTTTTTGTTTAGGATGTGTTAGTTTTGTAACTCTACCCCATATCCCTACTTTTTAAGCTTATAGAGTAAAACTTTTACTCCTGTAAGTATTTATAATGCGCTCGCATGAATAAATTCATTAAAAGATGGTTTTAAAACATTGAAGCTTAACTTTCTTTAATTGACATCACACCAAGTCTTCTTAGCGTTTTCTGACATCTGTGTTGGGGAGTTAAAAATCCATATCCTGTCAAAGTGCAAACACATAACTCATGCCTGCAACCTGTACTCCACTGTCAAAAAAAGAAGGAAAAAAAAAAAAGGCTTGTTCGCTACCACAGAAATTATCTCAACTTGAATTTGCCATAAAAATCTAAAAGTGAAGCAGTATATTAAGCTAATATCGTGACAACACATTTTCTGAAATGTATTTTCAACAAATGATGTATCATCTCTTACCCATCATTCCTGGCAGAGGGTGTATTAAGCTGTGTTCCTTTCCTTCTGCTCTCTAGTTTGAGGTAGTCAGTCCTGCTTCTCAAAGGAGATCTTCTAAGTAACATTGGTAACCTGACATTTCTGCTGGCATGATTTTGTCGGAGAACATGAATGGGCAAGGTGCATAAATAATGCAGGCCTTCCAAAGCTCGCCTTGGTGTATTCCTTGGGACCTTTGGGATTGGAGCGTTCACTGCGATATGTTGCTCATTTCCAGACTTCTTGCTTACCAATGATCTCTGGGAGGTATTTCTGTTTCCCCTGATTTTTATGGTGCCAGCTTTCTATCTGGCCACTACAGCAGAGATTGTGGCTTGCTTTATTTCTCCTTGAATGCAGTGAACAGTGTCAGTTAATTTTCATTACCCTAGTTACCTTGTTTATGCATTTTCCATGCCCTTAGTAAGGAAAGGCTAGCTGTTGTCTAGCTACCCTAAATCAGGCATAACTGAAGCCTGATTAAGAGTGAATACAGTAAGAGAATTTCATACAGTAAGAGTTATTCATAATAACTAAAGTAGACAGCACACTTAGAAACATCTGTGGAAGATATACATGAAGAATTGAAAGGGAAATACCCTTTTTTTTTTTTTTTTTTAAATACCTAGCTTATATTAGAAAGGTTTCTTTGCCCTATCCCACTGGTTTGATCCCCTTCTGGTAAGAAGCAGCAGCAGCTTGTTTGCACGTAGCTTGCACTTCAGGTTGCATCTCTTGGAAAGAAACTGTTCATGTGCCTCCATGAGGTACTGCTCTGATGAGAGAAAGCTTCATCAAAGCACATCTTTCAGAGCATACCTTGGGTCCTTTTTGATTCTTGAAGAACCTCTCATTTCTTATAGGCAATCTCCTTTTCAGTGTTTTTCAGACAGTGCAGTTGTAGTCTTTCATCCCAAAACCCATCTTGTTCCTATCTTACCCAGGGCAAGGTCTCACCATTGTATTTAATTATTTCATGTTCTTTGACGTAGAAATATCTCTTTAATAGTATACGTGTCACCTTCTGTACTTGACTGGCTAGTTTCCCTCACCTCTCTTTGGGACACGTGTTTCAATGAAAAATGTCTTTCAGGTTGGGCCTTATTCTGTACCAAAGAACACGCTAACATAATGTTGTACAGAACTCTGGCTTTTGCCTGACACCAAAAGCAATGACAACTCACAGTGAGTAGGAGTGACTGGTCCCTAAGCGTGATCACTGGGCATAGCTATGAGGTCATGTAGTCTGTGTACTTTGATCTTTAAAGAAGTTGTACTCTGATGCTATAAAGGTAGAAACCTCACTCCCTTAACACAGGTCTGATGGGGAAGGCCAACCTTGTAGGGTCTGAAGCAAAAAGATATGGCTGGACCCAAGTGTACTGCATGGCTGATCCCAAATGGTGATCAGCTAGACCTGGTTAAGATTTTCTCATTAGGGCTTTGGTTCTGGTTGTTCAGTGTTGCAGTATGAAAAAGTTGTCAGTGCTTATTTTCAAACAAAGCCTGTAATCACCTCTTCTGAAGATGGGGCATTTCTTCCATCACAGGGCAAAACGCTTGTCTTGGAGAAAATAGAGCTGTCCCTCCCAGCAGGGTGGTCAAACAGCAGCTGCTCTGGAATGAATGGTATAAGCTAGGTTGCCATATTTAGCTTGAGAGGGAAGGTCATGTAGGGGAAGTGCAGAAAGGATACATTCTGGGAAATAGTATAGCTAGGGACACATGAGATAGAAGGCTGGTGAACAGAAGACAGTGCAGAGCTGTGTGTTACTGTAAAGGGTAGACCTACTGAAGGAGGTGACAGGATAGAAGACTTGTAGGACATGGAAACTGAAGAGTTTGAGCAGCAAAGGTTATACATAAAAGCATCTGAGGGATACCTGGCAAATTGCTTTCCCCTTAACTGTGCAGGGTGCAAATATTTGATTTGCACCCTATTTGATTGTTTGCCTCATCATGTGTGCATTCATGACCGACTGTGCAACTGCAGTCTCCATCAGGGCCTCTTAGCACCGTTATAATATTACTGCACCGTTATAATATTGCTAATAAGGAGTTATGTCTGAAGTCGTGTCTTGGTCAAGAATAAAGACTTTGATAAAAATAAAGTACGCTGAATGTCTCCCACAGCCTCCAGGGAGCTTGAACAGCTCCACGGCGGTTGCCAGCATCTGCTTCAAGAAATGCCATGAGCTTGTTAATCGAACTGAAAGTACTTTATTCCTTTTGTACCTTAGCTGCAGCAAAGCATCGAAAGGTAGGGCATTAGTAACAGTTTTCCACTCTGAGGTGTGTTAACTATTCATTCAGGCCACAGCCATAGATAGTAACTGGTCGAGGGGGCAGCGAACCTTTCTTGTTTCTCATCTTCACTGGGAAACACAGGCATGGCAGCCTGTTCTTCCAGGCACTGTGCTTGGAATTCTTGATTGTGATATTCTTCATATGGACTCCTGCTGACAAGTCTCCAATGACAGGTGGGCATCAGAGAAATTAATGATGAGGCTGTAAAGGCTTTGTTGGCCTGTCTTGCTTTTTTTCCAGAAGTACTAATTTTGAGTCTGGGCTTTGAAGGGTCAGCAGTGCAACCACTTTTAACTATGTTTAGCTACATGACTGACAAAAAGCGTTGTGAGCTATTTACGTTTCCTCCATAGAACGTCAAAAGAAAGCCCAAACCACATATCTTCTTCCCTTCACTAGAACCTAAAGAAGAAATGTAATACGCTGTTCTGCAAAGTTAGTGTTTCTTTCCCTCCTACGTTCCATGTTGTACTGAGAACAATAGCTGTTTTTTTTTAAAGACAGTAACTTTGCTGCTTTTCAGAATCAGAACAGTTACAGTTCTGGATTCTGTTCTTTTTTGGTTCATCAACAGATTTATGTATTTTAGCCTAGATAGTAATATGCTAACACTTTGTTCCATGCCAAGCACCATCAAAGCCAGTAGGAGCGTTGCTGAGAGTACATTACCATCACACATCATTCAGATCTTCAAAGTTTGCCCTAAACTCTGCAAAGTTACAGTTCTGCGGTCCCCTCGATCACACTGTTGTTGAAACCAGCTTGCCGTTCTGCCAGCTTAGTTGGTGGCCTGCTCCCAGCCCAAGAGAAAGAGCTTGCAAAGGTGGCGCTATGAATGCGGCAGGAACAACTGGATTGTATGAAGTAACTCAGGCATCCAAGTAAGCTCATTTTCCCTGATGATGTCTGTGAGCTAGACTGGGCAAGACCTAGCAAAGAAGGTATGGACGGAACAGTAGAAAAAACTTTGCAGGAAGTTTTCGCCTTAGAAGAGATAATAGCTTTCATTTCTGTGTCTGTTCCTGTGAGGAAGTGGGCTACCTCACCTTTAAAATGAATAGGCATAGTCTTTGTGTTTTATTGTCTTGATAGCAGGGAAACATAAACCAGCCTCTTGGACAGGTGCA